GGCGCCCTGTCGTGTATCCCCCTTTGCACAGTGTTGCCAATGGCGCCCTGTCGGAAACCAACACTGTCACTACGCATCCGATTGCAGGATTTCGAACATGCCAACGTTCTCACTGTATTTCCCCGCTGGCTCCCCGCTGGCGCCGCATCGGGAACGCGCTCTGTCCACTGTGAGAGGAGGAGGAGGAGGAGGAGGAGGAGGAGGAGGCGGAGGAGGAGGAGGAGGAAGAGAAGGACGAAGAAGAAGAAGAGGATACGCAAATGAGTCGAGGCGGAGGGCGGGGAAGAGGGGAAGGGCGAGAAGAGAAGGACAAGGAGCAGGAGGGGGAGCGGGCGGTCGCAACGCCCAGATTCTACGAGCTCGGAACGCACAATCCGCATTCTCACTCCGGCCGCGTCCGTGGGAGACTGAGCCGATGAAAATCCCACCCACCCCGCTGGGCGCGGATGTTTGAACACCCTATCCCTTCTCCTCCTCCTCGTCCTCCTCCTCCTCGTCCTCCTCCTCCTCCTCCTCCTCCTCCTCCTCCTCCTCCTCCTCCTCCTCCTCCTCCTCCTCCTCCTCCTATCCCCCTCGTCGCAGCACGTCCAGCCTAGCCTGGTCACGCGAAGCGGATGTTTGAACACCTTTCGGGATGAAACTGCTATCGGTTGGAGGCTTGCTAGCAGTATGTTGTGGACTCTCAGGGGGCCTCTTGGGGACCTCTCGGAAGCCTTTTGGGAGCTACTTTGGGGCCTCTTGATGCCTCCTGGACTCCTGGGGGTCTTACGCAATATTGCTGCCAACGACCAGGTCAGGAATTGAAGGGCTTTGGGGTGGGGGTGTTGGAGCCATCTTGGGCCAGGTTGAACTGTATTTCTTGTGCTCTACGGGACACTAGGCGACGGTCGGCTTCGCTGAGAAGCACTTCCCGGAAGGCTGTACCATGTCCGAAGATCTGCGGCGAGCCTAAGGGGAAAGTGAGAGGGGGCAGGCCTTCTCAGAAGTCGGCGGGGCTTCTCAGAAGCCCTCGCGCCGTCTCAGAATTGATACGTTTTCGTGAAAGGCTTAGAACGCTTCTAAGAAGGCCCGAGGCCTTCCGAGCCTTCTGAGAAGGCCCGCTCCCGCTGCATTCCTCCATGGCCTCGCCACCGATGAGTAGCCAAGGAATCGTGGCCACATGTACTTTACAAACCTGATGCCGCTCGTGGCCGTGCGCTGAAGACCGTCCCAGCAGAGGGACCGGGGACGGCAAACGACACCAGTCGTGTCAGCTAGGGGCAACCATAAGGGGAACTGGCACAGGGGAAGAAACATCGAGCTGCAATCAGCGATACATCGCCGATAGACCGGCGATGGGCCCCCCAATAGCGAATCCGGCGGGATGTCGGGAACCTATCGGCGATAAATAGGCGATCGGGGGTCGATGCATCCCCCCCTGAGCCTATCCCCCCTAACGTTGCCCCTGAATGAAGCTGCGCGGGCTTAAAGCGAGCAAGTGATAGGGTAAGACAGCTTCAGGCTTAAAGCGGGCTTAAAGCAAGCAGGAAACTGCACTCAGCACACACGCTGATGGAGTCATGGTTACAGCCAGCACCAACGAAGTCGACACGAAGCTTGCCCTGCGAGTCATGTTCGTGGCAACGATGCTGATCACGTATGCCGCAGGCTATTTCAGCCACTAGCGGCGAATAAACGGTGAGCAGAGCGTGTAAGCTTGGAGACGAGACCAATGCTCATCATGCAGCTGGGCCGATGCATCCTTCCGAAGACAAGCTCCCCCTTCGTCGGCTGCCCCTTTCATGAGGGTGAGGCGGAAGAGGAGGGGGAGATGGAGAGGCAGGAGGAAGAGGAAGGAGGACGGAGAGGAGGAGGGGAGGAGGCGGAAGAGGAAAAAGGAGGACGGGCAGGAGGGGGACACATCGAGCGAAGGGATCCAAGATGGCGGCGCTGCCAGCGGACAGAGGCAGGGGAGGGCGAGTCGAGGCGAGAGGAAGGCTCGTACATGCCTGTCCGCTGGGCGAATAGAGCGGCGAACCGCCCTTGCAGAAAAGTAAGCCTGGATGATTGCACCAGGCGTGCGCTGGTTAAGCGACACGGTACACAAGTGAGTCCAGCAACGGCGTGAGAATATGGGCGGCAGTGCGAGGCTCGAAAAGCAGAGACTGACCCTGCAATTCTGAACCCCGAGGCACAGCTTGTTCACCTAGACGGTGTCCAAGCGACGAATTCAGGCGATCTGTCTGTAGCTCACCCACTTGCACTGTACGCGCAATGCGCTGCAGAGGCTGGGGCCATTATGCAGGACAGGTTCTTTCAAGCGCAGACACCCAGCCAGCAAGTGTCATGGCAAAAAACACTCGCCGAAACCTGCTGGACCTGTAGAAAACGACGAGGCCAACAGCCGTCGTCACGGAACCGTCCTGGAACATCGCAGGCCCAAAAGAGGGAGGAGCGAGGGAAGCGAGAAGAACGGCGGCGCCGTGGGCGCACCCCCGACAGCTCGCAGCGGACCACACGAACTCTCAAGCCCCACACGACGGCGGGCGAGGGACAAAAACGGCCGCAGCACTCTGCACGTCTGAACCCGTAGAACCTCCTCCTCCTCCTGCAGGAGGAGGAGGAGGAGGAGGAGGGGGAGGACGAGGAGGAGGAGGAGGAAAAGCACCTTGCAAACCTGTAGAAATGCCGCGCGCCGCAGCCCTGCCGCCCGTCCACCATGGCACACGCCCGCGCCCCCGCCACCCCCGTCGGGGCCGAGGGGCAACCTCGGGGGGGGCACCGGCTCCGGGGGGGGGCAACGTCGGCCCGGCATCGGCGACACCCTCCTCCTCCTCCTCCTCCTCCTCCCTCCTCCTCCTCCTCCTCCTCCTCATCCTCCTCCTCCTCCTCCCTCCCTCCTCCTCCTCCTCCTCCTCCTCCTCCTCCTCCTCCTCCTCCTCCTCCTCCTCGCCGACAGATCGGCGATTGACTTCCGATGGTAAATCCGCACTGCCCTGGGCAGAAGACACTTTCGGGCCCCATGTCGGCGCTGAGTGGGCGGTTGGGTGCAGGGCACCCCCCCCCCCCGAGCCCATCCTCCCCTGACTACCTACCAGACCACCCCAACCCAACCCGAAGACCCGAATTTCGGTTGGGGGGGGTAAGGGTTCCACGCGTGTTTTTTCGATGTTTCCCGACCCCCCCCCCACTAGAAATCGAGGGTAAATCTGAGCCTTCGGGTTGGGTTGGGGTGGTTTGGTGGGTGGTGATCCCCTGGCATCGCCCCGTGGATACTCGGGCCCCGACTCGGCTCTCTGGCCACCGTGCGGGACCACCCGGGCACCCTGGAGCCCCAGAGCGCTCTCGGCGAGGCGTCGCCGCTGGGAAGCATCCCGACACTTAGGAAGGCACCAACTATACACCAACACCGATCCTGGCCAGGATCCCCCTGGGCCCAGGATCGGTGTATACGCCCTCCTGCCTTGGGCAAGAAGGCATATACACCGATCCTAGGCCCAGGGTGATCCTGGGCCAGGATCGGTGTTGGTGTATAGTTGGTGTCCTCCGAATACTGGAAAAAACCAACAAAAACCTGGCAGACCGCCCGAAAACTGCAACCTCGAACCGCGAACCTCCCCCCCAGACGACCAATCCCCCCCCCCACCCAGAATTGCCCCTGACATCGGGCGGGGCTAGGACGAGAACAAGTCCGTTCCGGAGCGTTCCGGATGTTCTCCTCGTCCTGGTTTCGTCTTTTTGCGGGCAATACCTCTGTCCATATCCACTGCGATGTGGAGTGCTGGGCTCCCTTCCCTAGAAACCCGAGGCGCCCTGGACATGGATAAACTCGCCCCCTGGAGGTTCCATTTTTATCCATACCCGGTGCGCCTCTACCTCCCCTTCCAAGAGACTCAAAGACGCACTGGACATGGACATAAACACTGCCCGCACCTTTGCCAGGCCCTCCCGCCCGCTCCATCCGAGCCGCCACCTGCCTGGCTGGCCTCGCGCCCGCGGTGTTCTGGGCGGCTCCCTCGGCCAGGGGGGCCCCGGACGGCAGCACGTGTTGGCCTCCAGCCCGCGCTGCTCGTCCGCCCCGCCCCCGCACGCCGGGCGCACCTCGGACAAACACGGCAGCTTGGCCGTGCCATTCTCGCAAAGCGATGTCTTTTCGCGGGCGAAGAGCGGTATAAGGTTAACTTTTCCGCCGTCAGAGACGCCTGTCCCGGGGCGGCTGGAAGGTTTGTACCCTTCCGGTGGCACCTAAGGGGTATAAACTTTCCAGCCTCCCAGGGGCAGGCGTTACGACGGCGGGAAAGTGTATGTTGTGCCGTTCTTCGCCCGCTGAGTGTTAAAAGAACAGCAAAAAACTGCACGAGAAACATCAACCTTCCAAGCTCTGCGCCGAATTCTAGAATCGGAGGCTGGACCCCCCCTCTCTGGCGCGCGGAGCGCGTCAGGGGCGTCGGCGGAGGCGCCGCCGGGAGGGATCCAGCGCCGATCCAAGAAATCAGAGCGGAGCTCAGAAAGTGTACAGTCAAAACTGGTAGAAAGGATGCGCGGTAAGAGTGCAGTGCATGGGACGCCCATGCCAAGGCTCTTCGAGCGGGGCTGGCCATCGAGAGCGGCTGAGTGAGGATGGATCGAAGATAAAGGATGCAAGGGTACCCTTGGGAAGTCCCTCATCCTTATTATCAGTTTCGACTGTATGTTTGTGCATGTTTGTTCCTCTTCGAGGGCCTCACACAAAAAACAAGACAGGCGCCTGTTCAGTACAGGCCTCCCAAATGGGGTCCGAGTAGATGGGATCTAAGGATCGCGCCGCATCGCCGATGCATCGGCGACGCATCGGCGACGTCGGCGTGGAAAAACTCGGGCTCCCCAAAGAGCCGCATGGCCGACGCATCTGCGATGCGGCGCGATCCGCCGACCCCACCTGCTCCGGCCCCAGCCGGGAGGCCCGAGCTCCTGCCTCAAGCCCTCCGCGATGCTCCCTGCACGACGCGGCAAGGCCTGGGCCCAGAGGGCGAGACCTGGCGCTACGCGGCGGCGCCCGGCCGCTCCTGCGGCGGCGCGGGGAACGCCAAGAGCGCTCTGGCCAGCGAGGCCCCGAAGGGCCCGTCGGCCACTGCGGCCGGGCCGGCCCGGCCGCACTCGGCGCGGGCCTGCTGAGCGCGGGGAGGCTCCGCCCCACCCGCCGTGGGCGGAGGTGGCCGGGCCGCGGCTCGCGCAGGGCCCACGGCGGCAGCGACCAGAGCCAGGAGCTCATCGGCGCCGCACGCGACGAGGATCTTCAAGTCCGTCCTCTGCGCCGCGCCCACGCCGCTGCGGGCGGCGATGAGCCTGTCCGCCCTTGCCTTCTGCTGAGCGTCGTGCGCCGCAATGATCACAGTGGAGACCGCGACCTGAACTGGAGCGAAGCCAGTCGTGTCTCCAGTCGCGGCCGTCAGCGTCCGCGAGGCGTCCTTCCGCAGGCCGCAGTCCCTCCCAGTCGCGGCCGCCTGAACGGCGTCGATGCAGGGCTTCGCCTCGCGCCAGCCGACCACCAAAGTGACCCACGGGACCACATCCACTCCACGCACCTGGTTGAACATCCAACGCGTGAACTTGGGAACGGACAGGGTGTTGCTGTTGAGTCCACCCTCTGTCGTGAGCTTTCCGTGCAGCCCGATGCTGGCGGGGTGCTTCCGTAGCTCTCCGGCCCAATCCCTTATGCTCTCGGCGCACCACACAATCTCAGCGTGCCTCGCGGACGACCCCTTCTGAACTCTGGCCTGAGCACCTCTCTTTGCTGTGACCGCGCTGCCTACGTCGTCTGAGACAATCACCTCCATGAACGACGGCCCAAATGGGTGGCACTGCGCGGACGGGTGTGACAGGCCCGGGGGAGCCCTGACCGCTTGCCGCCCAGTCCTGCTCGGCCCCGGCAGGGGGGCAGCGGCCTCGGCTACCTGCCACTGGCGGCTGGTGTCCGCCTCGGCCATTCGGCCTCCCTTGCCTTCCACCTCGGCCATCTGGCCACCTCGGCCATTCGGCCACCTCGCCGTTTCCCCCACCTCGGCCATCGGGTGGCTGGGGTCCACCTCGGCCATGCGGCATGTTTTCCAGACGCCTGGAGCGGTGAGGGTGTGGCGGGGCCACCCCCGAGCTGGGGCGGCGGCGAGCGCCTTATCCACTGGGCCGCCAGAAAGGGCGCCGAGGTGGAAGCTGGCGCTTCCGACAGCGACTCCATCGAGAGCAGACATCGAGGGAGGGGGCTCGGGAAGGCTCGGGTGCGTCAGTGTGCCCGGAAAGGTAGGAGGCGCGAGCAAACTCCAGCCGCCGAGAGACTGCTGCACTCTTGAGCCAAGCGTAAGCCAATGCTGCTGCAGTGTGACCCTCTTGAGCCTTCTTGGGGCTCTCTCGGGCCGCCTTGGCCCGTCTGGGGGCCTGTGGCTCTTTCTAGGCCGTCTTGGGGCGATCTTGGCGGTCTCGTGGGCCGCCTTGAGCGAATAGTCTGAACCGCTCAGAACCCATAAAAACTTGAACAATGTGTTTGCCTCCTCGACGCATCTTGAGTGTCCTCCTGGGATCCTATCGGGCCGTCTGGTAGCCACATGGGCCGATCTGGAATATTAGCCGTCTTTTTTTTTCGACGCTGCTGAAAGAGATGACCCCGTGCTAAATCAGATGCTCGAGGCTGTGGAACGGCATTGGGCGCCTCGTTCGTGCAGAGCGGCAAGCGCTGGGACGACACTTCGGTCGTCGCATGCGGCCCGGGTCGCGGCAGATCGCGGCGCTGCGAGAGGGGTCCGCAGAGAGTCCGGAGGCAGCGCTTCCCTGAGGACGACGAGGGGGAGTAAGCAGGTCGCGTTTCCCCCCGCCGCCAGCGCTCAAGCGTAGCGCAGGATGAGGTGCAAGCCGCTGTCGGAATCGACGATGCCGCTGAGCCCCCCGACTGAGAGGGCGTACGTGCCGTCTTCGAACTGCTTCTGCATGTCGCCCTTCCCAAACTCGCCCAGGTCGCCGCCTATTTTGAAGGAGCCGCAATCGGAGTGCGCCTTGGCCAGCTTCGTGAGCTGTTCTTGGAGGGCTTATCCTGACAAGCCGTTCAACTGTCCGAGGAGCTTGTTGAGCTCCTCGTGCGCCTTGTCCTTCGACTTCCCGCTCGTGCTTCAGCCCGTTCGCCGAGACACCGGGTTGCGCGAGCCTTCGTGCTTGATCAGCAGGTGGTAGGCACTCACCTTGGACATGGCTTCCCGACCTCAAGCAGGCAGGAAACACTACTCTGCCGCCTTGAGCCAAGCTTGAGCCAAAATTGCTACGGATGGAATATTAGCCGTCTTGAAGGGCCTTGCGGCCGTCCTGGAGGCCGTCGAAAGCCACCTTGACCGTCTTGAAGGACACATTGGACCGTCTTGGAGGCGATATTGGAAAATTCCGCGAAGGCCAGCATACGCCGTCACCGTTGAGGGGTTGACCAATTCTAACAAGGAAAGCCCCTCCCCAGGGTTTGGAGGGGAGCACGAGGTGTCAAAGGTCCACGTTGGCAAAAGATGGCTCCAAGATGGCCCGAGACAACCCAAGATAGCCTCCAGGGCTACGCAAGATGGTCCAATGCGGAACCTCTAGCGCGCTGCCGGCTTGCAGCATAGACGAAAAACGATGGGACATAAGCAAAATGTTGCACCACTTTGAGCTTGCGATATTTGAAGTCGCGTTTGTTGGTGCGTGTGTTTCATTTCCCCCCGCCCCAAACTCAATTGTGGTGACTGTCTGGGGTATCCGAAACAGCTCGGTGGTGCAACATGCCGTCGATTGCCCACGAAATTTCCACAGCTCATGTCCCCATTGTCGCCGATATTACATTGGGGTGAAGCTGGGAGAAAGTTGAGGCCTGCGTGGGATACAAAACCCAAAGTGATGCAAGGCATTGTCGATGCACAGCATGGCAAGGTGACAGGGTGGCTAGGTGCAAGTGATACGCAAGGCGGCTGTCATCGCTATTCGTGTCACTGTATGTTCCTGCACTTCCATGGTCGAGGCAACACCTGACTATCGCTGCTGGATGGGCCTGTGGGGGGGGGGTACACGAAGCGCGAAGCATCAATAGTGAGATTGAAGATGGAGTCGAGACCTAGACTGAGATCGAAATTGGCATTGAGATTGCGATGGGAGGTTTTACATACAGCCGGTGAAAGAGCCAGGAGATCTGACTGGGATAGAAGCGCACCCTGGTGGGACCGACAGCTCAGGCTCATGAACGCGCCCGCTCGCAGCGAACGTGAAACTCGAGCAGCGCCCCAGGCCCCAGCTGTGCTCCCTCCTCCTCCTCCACCTCCTCCTCCTCCTCCTCCTCCTCCTCCTCCTCCTCCTCCTCCCTCCTCCTCCTCCTCCTCCTCCCTCCCTCTCCTCCTCCCTCCCTCCCTCCCTCCCCTCCCCCTCCCTCCCTCCCCTCCCTCCTCTCCTCCTCTCCTCCTCCTCCTCCTCCTCCTCCTCCTCCTCCTCCTCCTCCTCCTCCTCCTCCTCCTCCTCCATATAGACAAGGGGGGGAGGTGCGCCGAGGCGGGCTGCGCCAGGAGGCGCCCGGAGGATCGATGCTCGGAGGGCCCCTCTCTCACGTCCTGCGCGGGGAGGGCCACCCCCCCCGCCCTCTCCCCGTCCCGCGCGGCGAGGCGGGGAGGCTCGGAAGCCTGAGGGGGAGGAGGAGGAGGAGGAGGAGGAGGAGGAGGAGGAGGAGGAGGAGGAGGAGGAGGAGGAGGAGGAGGAGGAGGAGGCGGAGGAGGAGGAGCGGAGGAGGAGGAGGAGGAGGAGGAGGGGGAGGAGGAGGAGGAGGAGGAGGAGGAGGAGGAGGAGGAGGAGGAGGGGTGGGGGTTTGGACAGGCGTTCGCCGCGCGGGACGGAGAGCGCGGGGGGGGGGAGCGCCTGGGTCGACATGCAAGCAGTGACGGGCGACCCTGCGCTGGCACCAGCGCCATTGCCGAACACACCGACGCGCGCTCCCCGGAGCTGAATGCAACTGCCCGGAGGTCGCTGAGCACGGGGGTTGAGCACCCCGCATAAAAAAAAACTGACAACGAAATGTGGACACATGCCGAGAGCACAGAGCACAAGTCGTTCGTTACTCCACACAATACCATGGACACTCGCTTGCTTATTCTCGCTCGTCTCTGGCAAAGAAGCTCCTGGTGAGGTCGTGGACGTGCACGTGAATGTCATAGCACCTGGCTTGCGAATCACGAGGGCGAAACGATAGGCGCTGATCATGTGCGGCCCACCAATTCGTCGAAGGCTAGCCTGTGGCTATCCCTGCCCGAACCCCGAATCCTGACGAGCTGGACAGGCAGAGCCGAGGATGGGCAGCACGATGCGGAATGCAGCCACAGTGCCAACTGTGAACTCCGCATAGGGGGACAAGGGGTCCCGAGGGAGACGGATGCTGGACCCTGGTGCCTTCCCCCAAGACGACGTCTTCATCCTGCGCCGTTTTCTGACGACGGTCCCGGGGCCCGTGGAGGACCCAAACAGCCCGAACACAGAGAATAACCTCGGGACCAGTTTCCCTCAGGACCCGCTGCCCCCATGACGAGGAAGGTCATGCGTGCGACAACGCAGCTTCGCTGCGGGACACAGTGGTGCATCTTCAAGGGGTGGCACTCCCTGCTCGTTGCGCACCCCCGCAAGATGTCGCCCCGCTAATCCTCCGTCCTGCCGCTCTGCTCGGCCATTGAAAGCCCACTGCCGCCACACAACGGCTGCGTTCCTCTGCACAGACTGGCCTCGAAAAGTGCTCAGGAGAGATGAAAGAGGGCCCGAGAAGGCAATAAAGAGCCCCAAAGACAGACCAAGGCGGCCCCGGGAAACCTGAATACAGCCAAAGAATTCAGGACGGCCGAAGACGGCCAAAGGAGGGTTCCAGGACACCACTTCCCAATCACACCGCCCGAAGATGGTTCTACTCAGCCTTTTTTCAAAAATACTCGGAAGAACCAGCGCGCCCAAGATTCCCACAAGACACCGAACGAGGCCCCTAAGGTCCATACAGTCAGTGGCACATGGTTGCTCGCCCTCCTCGTCCTCATCCCCCTCCTCCTCCTCGTGTTCCGCCTCGTCGTCCTCCTCCTCCACATCATCATCATCACCATCATCATCATCAGCATCATCATCAACAGCAGCATCAGCATCACCATCATCATCATCATCACCATCATCATCATCACCAACAACAGCATCATCAGTTTCACCTTCATCCTCATCATCATGTTTGTCATCCTCCTTTGATTTTTCACTTTCCATCCTTCTACTGTTATTTTGCCGTGGCCAAAAATCCGCCCCCCTCCTCTCACACCTTCACCTTCCATCCGCTCCTCCTGACCATCCTGTACCCAGAAAGCCCGTGGAACGCCATTGCATCGCGTATACAGCGTCCCGGCGGCGCACCTGCCCAAGTAGGCCAGCTCCGACAGCACAGTGATCAGCGTCACCACGCCAGCCTCGTGCCAGGGCGCGTGCAGGAAGGACATCGACATGTCCGCCCAGTTCTCGGGGGCAGGCGGAAGGGAAAGAAGGGAAGCAGACGGGAGAAATGGATGTGAGTGAAAGCGTAAAGTACGAATGCTTTCTGAAGGTGGAATATGGTCTGTGTGAGATACCTGAAGGCGCGTCTGAAGGCGGGCACGGTGCAAGGATCTTGCTGAACAACGGCAGCGGGTAGCACAGGCAGGAGGTGGGGTGAAACAGGCAGGGCACGAAGGCATACTGTTCGAGTCTGGTGCTCAACCAATTCCGTCGTGACCTCGTTGGTGCCGACCTGCAGCTGGGAACACACTACGACCGCACCCGTGAACCACGTTTGCAATGAGCGGTCTGCGGGCCGCGCCTAGCGACTACTGGTGCAGCACATGCAAGTGCCTGCTGCCGCTCAGTTACACCGGCCATCTGGAGCAACTCTCGGTCGAGTGTTCAACCTCCTCGTAATTGCCGCCCGTCAATGCCCGCAGAACTTGATCATCTCGCAGCTGCTGGGCACGTCGACATGTATCCCAGCGAGCGGAACTAAGCGGAGCTACGGCCGCCAACCTCACAACACAATCACACGAGTCGCCTCTTCACTGCTGAGTGATGGGAGTTCGGGACGGCATTCTTCTACTCGTCGCTAAACTTGACCGCGTCGCAGGCATAGGTGATCTGGCCGCCCATCACACTGAGGATGAATTCCCGACCCATGCCCCCGTTGGTCATGGGGTCGGTCCGCATTTCCCGAGTGTCGCACCAGAGGAGACCCTCGATTTGCTTGGTACGCAGCTGGCCGCAGCTGGCCACGCCCTTCTCGGAGGGCGGCCGCACCGGGTCCACGAGCAGGGCGCTGAAGACTGACGTGCCGTCGATGACGAGATCCGCAGGGATCGCGCATCCGCCGGCCGCGCCGCACGCTGCAAGCAGCTCGGAACCGAACTCAGATCTGCACGCCAGCATGCGCGATCGGCCCACTGCGCCCAGCAAGTGGCACGCCTGTTTGCCAGCGCGGCGGCCAGGGCGCATGTGCACGGCCCCTCTCACGCCGAATTCCCGCCCCGCCCTCGCTCTCGAACGACACGTCGCCGCGCGCGCTGAGTCACCCAGGACACTCCATGGTTGGAACTGCGGCGCGTGCAATTATCTTCTGCACGGCCACAACTGAGTTGAGCTGCATCACGCGTCGGATGAGCAGCTCGTTCCTGGCTCGCTGCAGGGCGACGGCGCACGCGGCAGCGCGGTGCTGGGCGAGCAGGGCGCAAGCCGCTGCTTCCAGGAGGGAGGCATAGAGGTCTGGAAGCTGACCCCCTTCCGGTTCGTCAGCCTTTGCCTTGACCAGGTCGTCGTGCCTGATCGGTGCCAGAACGCCGATGCACTCGTCCTGGTCGAACGCCATGGGGCCATCCGCTTCCGTCGAGCGGTTGTAGCGCTCGGCGCTTAGAGCATCCCGCGACACACTCAAGGCATGACCCTCGCACGTCGCGCTGTCGCCGTACTGAACGCCGCCAAGTTCGCGATCGGCAAAGAAGAAATCGGATCGGGATCCAGTCCTGCCAGACTGCCCGGAATGCGCGGGCGAGGTGCGTGGTCGTGTACCACAAGATCGAAGACGGCTTGGGGCGTAATACAGACGGTGCGTTACTGCATTGAACTCTGGTTCTCCCCGATCCGCTTCGCTGTCGCTCGCAGCGCTGGTGGCACAGTCCCCAAACCCTCAATCGTTTCACCGCTCTTCTTCGCATGCTCCTCCCAATGGCGTCGTAACAGTCACCGGAAGCTCGGGACCCAACACCGTAAATGTGAACGCTGCGTCAAGCAACTGTCTGACATTTGCGGCTACACCCACAAGCAGGCGCATTGAAGGCATACGGTCTGCGAGTTGCGCTGACACGGTCACCACCAGCCCTGGCAGAATCGCTGAGAGCTCCAGCGCGCCACGACGTTCGTCGTCGTCGCAAACGGCAGCGGCCAGGATCCTTGAAGGCATTGTTGATGTTGTCCTATTTGTGGTCGTTGCGGGCGCTCCCCGTTACCGGCGGACGGGTTGCTCACGGACCCGCAATCAATGTCTCCTGCCATGGAAATCGGGAAGAGGTGCACGAAGGCAATGCGAAGAGCGGATGAACAGCGGGATGAACAGCGGTGGGGGCTTGGGGCCGATGCTGTCGAAACGCGGCGGGTCATGGCAAAGCCGTGGCAACGGAGAACGATGTGCCACTACCAACTTGAGAAATTGGTGCAAAAAAAGATGTGAAAGACGTACGCTTTCTGAAGGCGAAACGTAGTATGTGTGAGATACCTGAAGGTGCGTCTAAGCGCGGGCACGATGCAAGGATCCCGCTGGACATCGGCAACGGATAGCACAGGCAGGAGGTGGGGTGAGACAGGCAGGACAGGAAGGCAAAAGAGGCCAGAGGGCGAGGAGGCAGGATGAGGAGATGGGCGGGACAGGGGTAGAGAGCGGGGGATGGGGAGGGGGAGGGAACAAGTGAGCAGAATGGAGGAAGGGAGGGAGGGAGGGAGCGATAAAGCGTGCGAGCGGGCGAGCTAGAAAAAAAACAGAAGAACGGAACCAAGGCGAGAGGAAACGGAGGGAGAGAAGAAGGGGGAGGGCGGACAAGGCAAAGGGGGGGTGAGAGACAGAGAGAGCGAGACATAGTTTGGTGCGACGATAGGGGCGAGTAGCCACGGGGGAGCAATACACGTATCCAGGGGTGCCGATGGTCCGTGTCTTCGGCGAGGCTCCCCGACGATTACGCGCGATGCCCGCCCCTGGGCCTTGGCCGCTTTCGCTGGCCGCGCCCCGCCCGCAACGCTCGACCTGGCCTTCCAAGGCCCTGCATCCTCATCGTGCGTCCTTACTATACTGGTTGGCTGTAGCAAGGGGATCGAGAAAGACGATGAGGAAATGGGCTCTGGCCAAGCCCTTGATCCGCTCGGGGCGGCGAGCTTTCTGCGTGGACCAATCCGATCTCCCAGCGGTCTCGAGGGACTTCCCCTCACCTACTCCGTTTCTCGCCTTGCCTCCCCCCTCCATCCCCTCTCTATCTGGGAGGCGACGATCGGGGCGATAGATGGGCCGCAGGCAAATGATGCCAGGGTAACCTTGGAAAGTCGCTAATCCTTGCTACCTGGGTTGGCTGTACACATGCGTGTGACTGCTGATCCGGCGAACTGTAAAGTAGTCCTTCATGATCAGGAGAGACGCCCACTGTGCTACGTGAGCGCTTCCTGGGGCATACCAACGTGAACTCCTGAGACCAAGTACTGAAGTACAGTTGTCTGATGATAACGCTTATGTTATGATGCATTGTGACTTACACAACTCAGAAACCCTCTCACGGAAAGACGGGCAATAACAGCCACATAAGAACACAACTATTCATGCGGCATCTCATGTCTGTTGCGTCCTGAGACGTACGCCCGCAACATGGGTCATCACAGCTGGAAGGTGGCTCCACAAATTACTAGAAGAAAGGATACCGAAGCTGATTTGCGGCTTCTGCTTCATCAGGTGATCTCAAGACATGTGCAGATGTGCACACAGACACACACACACACACACACGTAACCACACACGCACTCATCTGGTAAGACCGGATGGCAAGTGGCTGTCCACCTGCCAACGCTGAGACAAACACTCAGCCTTGAGATCGGTGACTTCGCTGGCGGCATGCGCGAGCCAAGTTTCCCACGGTACCTACAACCGACAACACATCCTCGCGCAGTGGCACACTGGTGCACATTGTCTGTGTGAGGTTGTGACCATACCCGTGGAGCTGGAAACACCAAATGCCGCTGTACAAGCAGCAGCGAATGATACCAAACAGTCCCGTATGGCACGCCACCGCTGAAGTCTTCGAATGGACTACGTATCAAACGTGATATCAGGTATCTTTTGGCCAAGCAGCGGTGGCACTGGCTGAAGCGACCGATACTTGATTTTGTCTCAATCCCACCAGCCCTCTGGGCGTCGGTGGTTTAGGGCGTTTCCTCTTCCACCCCTCCCTCTTCCCCTTCGGGGAGGGGTTTACCCCTCCCCCTACCCCCTCCCCACTGACCTGGACAGGAGGCGCGGGGAGCGGTCAGAGCGTCCAAAACGGCCTCGGCGAGAAAGCCAAAATCATTGATTGTACTATGGTTTGGGCCCCATGTTGGCCTTCTGAGGAGGCAGCGCTAATTAGAGCTCCCCTCTTCTTTGCTCGATTTCCTCCACGATGGCCGCAAGAGGCCCCCAGGATGCCCCAAGAGACCGCAGGATGGCCCCAAGATGGCCCCAAGAGGCCCCCCAAGAGGCCCCCAGGAGGCCCCCCCCCAAGAGGCCCCAAGAGACCCCCCAGAGGCACCCAAGGTGCTCCCAGAGGCCTTTTTACTATGGTGTGGGCCCCATTTTGGCCTTCTGAGGGGGCAAAGATGGCCCCAAGAAGCGCCCAGGAGGCCCCCAAAGGCCCCAAGATGGCCCCAAGAGGCCCCAAGAGGCCCCCAGGAGGCCCCAACGAGGATCCCGAACGGCCCACAGAGGCCCCCCCCGAGGCACCCAAGATGCCGAAAAGCCCCTCAGGACGACCCTCTACTCGCCTGGGCGTCGTTTCTGGACGGGCTGGTGGGGATACGCGAAGCGTCTAGAATTCAATTATCTGCGAAGGCGGATGCCCTGTCAGGGTGTTCGAACCAAATGCTGAAGGTCTCCGATGAGCGATGAGTCACGCCTTCCAGGAACATGTCCATTCAGGATGACACGAAACAAATCGGAAGAGATCACGTCACCTCAGGCAGCGGGTTTATTTCAAACCAGACATGGCGAGCACAACTTCCGAGATCCAAGCATCATGCCATCGCCATGCCATTATGCAAAGACTATTCGCGCACGTGGTGGGCACATCGTGTCGAGGGCGTGCTCTTGCTGGGTCAACACTTCGACTAGCTGGGCGGAGAGGTCCGCCAAGTGGTATGGAGGCGTGCTGGGCACGAAATTAGCCGATGCAACTGAAAACAAAGATTTCAAAGTAGGCATTGAACACGTTCGCCAAGATCAAAATACATAAGCAACGTAATCACAAAATCCGAGTACAACCCGAAACTGATCCAAATAAAATGACAGGTCGTTGTCGGTTCGGCAGACCTGCAAAAAAACATGGTGCGGATCATCCTTCCCGTGATGGAACAATGACGAACGCGTAGAGTGAGCATGATACGAATGGATGGCCTCACACGCGGGTCCTCCATCAGCAAGCCCAAATACCCAGATACGCCCTATGAGCCTGGCACACATCAGAGTGTGCCAATGGGCTGTTCAGCAGCCCGTCGCAGAGTGCCGAAACTGCGCTTGGCAGTGGAGCAGCCAAGCGTACCTGCGGCACGTGTAAACAAGACATCAGCCAGCAGCCCTCCAAACACGCCTGCCCCACATACGAAGCTAATGATATTCCGCAGGCAAGAGTGGCGCGGTTTTGCGAACTGGTGTGCTTATACCGACAGGCCATCCGAAGGGCACCAGCTGCGCCACCCCGTGGCGTTGACAGTGTTGTAAGCGCGCGTCACGTTCCTTCCCCTCCTCCTCCTCCTCCTCCTGCTCCTCCTCCTCCTCCTCCTCCGCCTCCTCCTCCTTACTTACCCTCCCCTCCTCCTGCTCCCCTCCTCCCTCCTCCTCCTCCTCCTCCGCCTCCTCCGCCTCCTCCGCCTCCTCCTCCTCCTCCTGCTCCCCCTCCTCCGCCTCCTCCTGCTCCTCCTCCTCCGCATCCATGAGGGGAGCCCCCGCGGCGTGACGCAGGCATGCACCAGCGGGAGGGAAGAGGAGCAGGGATGGAGCGGGCTACCCGCTCTCTCTGGCCGCGCCCACGGCGGGCCCACGGCCCGGCCCGCGGCCCCAGCCTCCCCCCCCTCCTCCTCCTCCTCCTCCTCTCCTCCTCCCCTCCTCCTCCTCCTCCTCCTCCTCCTCCCCTTTTGCCACCTCTCCTCCTCCTCCTCCTCCTCCTCCTCCTCCTCATCATCCTCCGCCTCCTCCTCCTCCTCCTCCTTCTCTCCTCCTTCTCCTCCTCCTCCTCCTCCGCCTCCTCCGCCTCCTCCTCCTCCTCCTCCTCCTCTTCCTCCTCCTCCTCCTCCTCCTGCGGGCGCCGGGAGCGGCGAGGCGGGAGGGGCAGGGGGCGGCAACAGCAGGAAGGACCACGGTGGGACGCCGCGGCGCTCCAGGGCCGGCAGCGTCGCCCGGAGAGGGGCCGGAGAGGTGCCGAGCCAGAGGGCAGCGTCTGCCGGGGCGGTGAGCAGTGGTTGCGCACGCGGCGCGGCAGAAGCGGAGGCGCGTCCTGCAGGAACCCCATACGCCAAGCGACGCTCACGCCGATGTGGACGAGCAGGAAGAGCCAGAACTCCAGGCGCTTGGCAACCTCGCTCGGGGGATTCTAGAGCAGTGGCCCCAAACAGCGTGTCGACGAATATTGTACAGAAGCTCCATCTCTCTATCATATGTGTGTTGTTATCTCTCTCTATATATATATATATATAAATATATATATCCTTCTACAAACACACACACAATCATAATCAAGTATTAACATGCCTGAGCACTTGTGTGCCAGCGCATGCACTATACATATACATCCAGCTTATATGTAGAAGATGTAGATCTGAATATATATATATATATATGTACATATCTACACATACATACATACATACATACATACATACATACATACATACATACATACATACATACATACATACATACATACATACATATACACACACATACATACATACATACATACATACATACATACATACATACATACATACATACATACATACATACATACATACATACATACATACATATATCTATATATATATATATATATGGTCGCACTCCCCTCCCCCTCCAAGATCCACCTTTCGGTGGGTTCTGAAATGAACGTTCAAGTTGCCTGTCAGTCCTCGCCTCTTCCCCGCCCCTTCCTCGCTGGCGCAACGCTGCACAAAGGCGAGAGAACTACCACTACAACCTTTCAGAGAGAACCACTACAACCTACCACTAGAACCACTACAA